GCGTATTTTTATCACTACCGAACGTACCACTCGCCATACTACTCGCACATGATTGAAAGCTGGATGGCAATATTCCAACGTAGGAAAAAATGCCCAACAGGCTCCGAGTCTGGTCCTTGGACACAGGGTTGTCCACTTCCAGCATTTCGATAGAATTCTCCTCAGTTAAGGCAACCTCTGCTGCGGACCCGAACGCGTTCTGCACAGAGACGCCGAGCTCGGGTGCCAACTTCCTTATTCGACTAGCCTCTGCTATCGCTGCGTTCATATCATTGAAACCCGAAATCCTATACTGCAACCGGAACTGAGGATCGGCCTGTGAATTCGTCGTTGACGAGCCACTTCCATCGTGTGTCGGCGGCTGCGGGTACCCGTCGTAGAGATACTGATTGATCTGGTTCACCGTCAGCTGACCATCCCCCACAAACACTCCCTTACAGGGATCATACTCTTCCTTAGTACAAGCCAACCAGCAAGAGCAACCTGTAGTAGTGCACACTGCTGTCTGACAAGAAAGGCCGATTCGTCACTGTGAATATCCTAAAACCCCGATTGCCATCCCCAGTCTTAGTACATCGTATTTCCACTCGTCATCGCGAGTCGCCTCCCACCATGCCTCATCCGCTGTTCGACCAGGGTAAGTGTTGCCGGCCTTGTCAACAGGCCATGACTCGCCATCCTTGCATCTAGAAGGAATCACAGTGAACTCCAACACGTCGAGTAGGTACAAGTCGAGCATTACCTAGTTGCTTGTTGACAGTTACACTGACTGTTGAAGCCAGCGGGAATGGGTGAATGAAAGTAATCATAGGCCATCCTTCCTTCTTCTATACAAAGCTGATCCGGAGACATCGACGACATCGCATCGAAAGCGCTACAGCCTGATCGAAGAGCCCATCAAAAACGTGATGGACAAGAAGCAGAAGCCCCGACTACCAAATGCTAGTGCTTCTGGCTGCTCCGGTAGAGGTGGAACTGTGGTAGATCCATTTGTATCCACTCGCTCACAGGCTGTGACCTGCACCTTATCATTACTATCACTCTTGTCCACATCTAGGAACTGATAACCAGCTTGTGCAAAGAGCTCCGTAGAGTTCGGTAGTTGACAAAGATATTCATTCTCGGGGTTGCTCATAGCCTCCACGAGAAGATCAAAATTGATCACTGCATTATCCCCAGCATCGACAACCTTTTCGACAATCATGTGCAAAGACCTTGCCCTGTCTCGGGGTGTACTCCATTTCACAGGTTCCTCCCGTAGAGCAGATAGTTGGGAGGTTAGGGCAGCAGAGAAAGAGAGCAGGCAAATGAAGAGGACAGTGATGTACAATAGAGACGTTAGCCCGGGGGCTCGGGGCTTCATTGCGAGGAGGAACTAAATAGTAATAAGCTCCCCTGATGAGCTAAAGCAGCTTAATCGTTGTCATCGAATAACACAACACAGCCATGATAGACAACAGCGCCGATGTGATCAGATTACCATGCTCATTGATCAATAGAACTGATCGAAGTCCTTATGGACCTTGCTGGGACGGGGGTTCGTCTTCAATCCGTGGTATCTGACGAGAGATTAGAGAGCGCTGAGATAGAGAGAGAGTTTCACCTCGGTCGTAAGTCGGTGAACTTATTCGTGAAATCATTGTTCATGGGAAAGTACCTGCAAACGGAATCTGTCACCGCGCCATGAAATTGTGCTGACCGTTCTGCCAATTGATGCTGCATAGGCCTGGCCTGGCCCACAGACGCACCAGTAGTAGCGTACCTACCATACCTTCTACCATTCCATCTGCTTCCGATCAGTACTACAGAGGATGCTGCTTAATTCGACTATCTACATGCTCGGCGACTGCTTCCTCGGTCACTGGGAATTTCTCTGATAAACATGTTTCGTCGACAGTGCTCATCTATTACTACTTGGGATGGTATGAGCTGAAAGGATCCTCTCTGCTTGCCGTTCCCGAGAGGCCTGCATGACCCGTCTACTTAACCGAGTTGGATCACCGTACCCTACCCGTCGGAACTTATCAAGCAGTTTGAAAGAGCCCATGTCGATGCCTAACTTTATAGGAGGTTGGACCAAACGCGACTTCGAGCTTTTCTCAAGTACCTATAATATCGCAATAAGGGAAGTGGCCACGACAGAGTCATCAATGGACCTGGCTAATTGTCGGTACACTGTGACCTTCGACAGTATGGCTGTTGCCGAGGGAGCGCCAGAATGGGAAGTAATGCTGGTAGGTAGTAGCGTACCGAGCTGCAGTGGTTGGAGCAGCAGAGGCTTGTACTGTTGGAGATGACGACTCGTCCACTGTCTGGGCCATTAGCAAGCAGCACTGAGGCGTAGTCGATGAATGCAGGGAATTGGCGAAATCAGGATGATGCAACGCGCGCGCCCGACTAATCGATATTCGCACGCTTTCGAGTGCGGTGTACGGAATTTGTGAGGGCAGTCCAACCCGAGGCAAGGCCTGAAGTGATCGATACCAAAACTAGGGTCTATTATGCATGGGTTCTTTACTATGTGCACCGCATTATAAGATGTCGAAAGTATCTATGGTATATACTCTATACCTGGGCTTGGGCCTGCGTACAGTCGAAGCACGCAGAAGCACAGGGTTCTCGCTGGCTGTCTCTTGACCACACCATCGTCTTCGAGGACAATTGATTAAGGCGATTGATTGTCATCTCAATACTCAGCATTAAGCTCGCGCTTGATTCATAGGTCCACGCTCCATCTACGGAGGCATATCCTCTACATAGCAAGAGACGTCTGCGGTCCGGTCCTTCACAGGCCGTCAAGGCACGTCATCACGTTGTTCACGCAGTGGATGAGGTGAGTCAGGGATGTTGGACACGATTTCGCTACTTTCGCGTCAAGCTTGATTCTCACGCTTACAGCTTTGATATTTGCAGTTCGGAGTGTGCTCGTCGCGGTTAAAATTAATATGAAATCCCTTGTACGAGAACGTAAATAATACGGGCTGTAATAGTGTATATTAGTGCCAGTGGCGGAGCGAGAGAGCTCGCTGTACGACAGCTCAGTTGTACATGAGCGAACTGTGGTGATTCTATTTCGATCACTTTATGTGTAGGCTTGAGATCGACTTCCATCTCAACTGCTGTCAATTTGCGGTCACTCCGTAGTGTTCACGATCTCTCCGTGCTTGAGTAACTCGCGTAACTCCTCCGATGAACCGTTCACAGTAGGGCATGCAACGCTGCCCTGATCTTCCCCCTGATCGCGCCATTCCTAGTCACTCGAAGATTTTTGGTTAGGATGCTCATCCCAAATCCAACCTCCCACGGTATGATACAAATGGCGCCTAGCGGTAATTCACCTCGATATCTCGTTGGACTTCATTACATACCTCATTTGGATTCCTATCTCGCGTCTCTGGCGCGAGATTGGCCTTCGATCTGCCGTCTTCGTGTTGACCGAATCGGGTTGCAACCTGCGGGTTATGGGTTCGAACATGGTCCATCGATCTATCCTGTTTGTCTCATCTATCTGAACTTGGCCATACTGAAATAGGACGGCCTACTTGAGTGGTCGTGGACTGTACGTAGAGAATTGTGGATGGGTCGAGGACCCAGACTATAAGTGTTCTGGTGCTCTTCGTTCAGTACGTGGCTGCGATATTCACGTACTCTCTTAACGTGGCCGTGAAGCTACCATCCGGAACTCGGATTCCGAATGAATTCGTTGCATCAGAATTACGATTTTCCGACCTTTCCATGTTCTCATGCATCCTTTGCGAAGCGCCGACGAGGATTTGCACTCACGCAGACTTATCAGCTGCCAGCGAGTATCAAATTGTCGACCATACAGAGTCGGATACGAGAGTTGCCGATGATTGTTCGGTCGGACAAGACGATGATGCACAGGCGATTGACCTCCAACAAAATGATGGTGAGCTCACCTCGGCTTGTGGGAACCGCGTACACAAGCTT